ATTGGTCTTCGAGAATGATGTTGTCACGTTGCAACTGTTCGATGCAGCCTGAGAAACCATCAACATTCCTCTGGACCTCGCGGGTCTTGTCTGTAAGCACGGAATACTGTCGTTGAGTAGACTGGGAAAGGTCTGTAAGAAGAGAACGTAGCTGATCCATGTCGGCCTTTACGCGCGACAGCTCCTGCTGCGTATCCGCCAGGCGGGTCTGCACTTCAGATACCCGTGCCTTTCCAGCATCCCTCTCAGAGCGAAGCTCGTGTAACTGCCTTTGCACGTGGTCCGCCTCCGCACGCACGGTCCGTTGTACGGCTGCCAGTACGGCGGGGTCGTCAACCGAAGAAGGGGGCACCAGCTGGCCAGTCTGGGCCCTTACAACGCGCAGCTCAGTCACGGCCTCTTCGAGAGTCAGGACTCTGGCGGTGAGCTTTGGGATCGAATCAACTTGGGAATCAGAGAAACGCTGGTTGACAGCATTTTCGGCTTGACAGAGTTTGCCGTAGAGATCTTGTTGGACTTGTTGGGTCTCAGCACGAAGATCAGATGTAGCAGATATCGTGGCGTCACGAAGCTCAATAATCTGGCCCTGGAGAGCTGAGGGAGCCGCGCCGACGCTGGCGGCAGCAACTGCTTGGAGTTCATCGTGGAGAAACTTGGCGCGAGTATCATTGTGGTCACGCATATGGATAAAACGTGCTTCCAAATGAGAGAACTCGGAGTGCACAGCGGCAAGCTCGGAGTGGTCTTGGCCACGCTGAGCGACAACAGCATCGACCTTCGAAACGAGTTGACACATGACGTGACGATCCTCGTACAACCTAGCGTCGACTTCCTGCAAACCTTTAGCGAGATCCGATCGCAAGATCGCAGTCTCAGTGGCGGTTGCCTGGTGCACGAGAGCAGTCTGATGCTCCACATACGTCTGTACCTGGTCTCTTAGCTCAGCCATATCTGTTAGGGGGACGGCGGCAGGCGCAGCCACAGGTGAGCTGACAGCGCGTCTTCGTGCCCTCTGGGAGGGACTGCGGCTGTGCAAATCCTGGGCTGCAATCTGGAACTGTTCGGGGCCACGTCTGTCACGAGGCGAAGCTGCGCGAGAACGAGAAACAGTGACTTGACGACCGGCGAAGGCTGCGCCGTCGCGGGTCTGAGCACGAAACTCGAGGGCGCGGATGTGCTCTCGGACTGGCGTCACGGCACGGGTGACTGGGTTCCGTCCTGGCGCGCCGGCGTTCGCGTGACTCCCGCCCCAGCGGCGAGATCCTCCAGAGCCTCTCTGCACGGGACTTCCCTGTGGAGGCGAAAGAGCCTCCGAGTGGGCCCCCCCAGCAGGGGCCCGAAAAGTCGGGGTCAGATTTTGAGGAGGTTGAGGAGTCTGGAGCTGAGGAACTCCAGGAGCCACAGGGTGTCTCGCTCTGACAGCATTTCTGGGCGGATCATTCCGTGGCACGAGGACCTCAGCGCTCTGAAAGAGATGCTGCGCAGCACCCGAGCTGCGGTCTCCCGCTGCATCCGACACGACGGGCGACGCGACGGGATGAACGACTGACGACGAGGAAGGGGCCTGGAACTGAGGAGTACCAGGAGCGTGTCCTTGTCCAGCGTCAAGACCCTCAGTACCTGGAGAAATGGCCACACGATCAGCTCGCGGGATGCCATGCACGTCCATCAAAACTTCAATCTCCTGCTCCAAGTTGCGCGCCACGGGGTCCGCCACGCCGTCGCGAAGAGGCGCGGGGCCGAGAGGCGCACCGCCCTCCATCGCGACTGAGTGGGGGGCTCAGGAAGCGCGGAAGTTGGAGCGATTGCGTTTTGAACAGAGAAGGCTGATAACCTGTGTGAGGGGGAGGGGGACCGAAGGACCGAACCCACCCCCAAAGTGTCCGTAGGTAGACGTGATGAGGATGATGGAAGTTGTCCTCTTCACCCTCTGAGTACGAGTACCTGCATCCGAGCCGAAAGGGGCGATGGATATGAGCAAGATAGGAGGAAAGTAGGGGGATTCACACACACTTTGGGGCAAAGTCTTGGGTCATGTTCGTGAGACCCGCGAGCACTTCGTATTGCTTTTGGCAAGGACGGCGGGGGTGTCAGCATATTCCCTGCTGCGCGCAGGGCTACCATCCCTGAGAAACAACGTTTAAGAAATACGCCTCACGGCTAAACTTGGATCATGCGCGGCCACCCTGCGGTCACTGTCAAGTGGTTTTTGGCAGGACGGCGGGGGTGGTGGCGCGTGGCCTGCTGATACAATGATGGGAAGACACAATGATGGGCATCGGTTGTCGACAAGGATGGCGGGGGGCGACATGAGTTCCGATGTATGCTGTCACGTGCGCAGGCGCACCTGACGAACTCTGCACGTGCCTCGAACGCGGCGCAACTGGCGCGGCTGGAGTGTGCGACACAGCATTCGGAGCACGTGTCGCATCTGGCGCACCAGGCGTGCCTGGCGCGCTCGGGCCCCAGGGGTGCCTGGCGCGCGTGGTGCCCCTGGCACGCGTGGCGCACCTCGCCCCAGCGTCGCGCACATGGGGTAGGTTTTGGTTCCCAGTACCTGCCCATCCAAAGACGACCGCTGAACATGCTCAGGCTCGGGTGTTACTTCTGTGCAGGGAGGGCGGGTGGGAGTGAGCTAGACGGCTTGCGGGCGGGCGGGTAGCTTGACCCCTCCCCCTACCCCCTCCCCATGGACCTGGACGGGCGCGGGTCGCGAGGCGTCAGAGCGCCCCTTTTAGCCCAAGATGGCTCCAAGAGGGCCAAAAGAGCCCAAGATGGCCTCCAAGATCGCTCGAGATAGCCCAACATGGCTCAAGATAGCTAACAGCATGCCTCCAAGAGGCCCCAAGAGGGTCACAAGATGGATACAAGCGCAGTTGGAGACTCCTCAGGACCTCCCCGAAAAGCAACATCCTTCAAACACCTGAAGGGGAATCGATGACGTTGGCCTTCTCGCCTCTTCGCTTCCGATGCGGCTTTGAGGCCTCAAGATGGCCCCAAGATGGCCCAAGAGAGCTCCAAGAGGGGCCCAAGAGGCCCCCAAGATTGCCCCAAGAGCGCCCAAGATCGCCCCAAGAGCGCCCGCCCCAAGAGGGCCCACAGAGACGATTTCGAGAGCTCTTGGGGGGGCCAGATAAGGGACCTCCCCCTTTTGATCGATGGCCTCCAAGGAGGCCCCAAGGAGGCTCTCCGAAGCTCCCAGGAGCCCCAAGAGAGCCCCAAGAAGGCCCCAAGAGGGGCCCCAAGAGGGCCCCAAGACGCCCCGAAAGAGCCCCAAGAGGACCCCAAGACCCCCCAAAGAGCCCCAAGAGGGCCCCAAGATACCCCAAACGAGCAACAAGAGGACCCCAAGACCACCCCAAAAGCCCCATAGCTCCAAGAAGGCCTCCGATGCTCCAAGATAGCCTTCGACATGGCTCAACACGTTCCTCACCCCCCTCTCTTTGACCCCGACCACTTCCCCAAGGTCTCAATTTCATCC